AAAGAAAGATAGATAGATAGAGATATAGATAGATAGGTAGACAGAGGGATACATAGAGAGATATAGAGATAGATAGATAGATAGATAGATAGGTAGATGGATAGAGAAATAGATAGATAGATAGATAGGCAGATAGATACATAGATAGATAGATAAATAGACAGAGAGGTAAATAGATAGATAGATAGACAGATAGGTAGACAGTCAAAGAAATAGATAGAGAAGATAGAGAGATAGATAGATAGTAGATAGATAGATAAGCAGATAGATAGATAGCACGAGAGATAGATAGATAGGTAGTTAGGTATAGATAGGTAGAGAAAGATAGATAGACAAGCAAACGAAAGAAAGAAAGAAAAGACAGATAGAAAGAAGGAAAGAAAGGAAGAAAGGAAGAGTGACGGAGAAAAGGAGTCAAGAAAAGAAAGATAACTATAGTTTTTATATTTTGGAAACTTCCGCCCACCGGCTGCGCCGGCTCTACTTGTATAATATCATTACCAAGCAATGGGACTGGCAACTGAAGCATTTGAACCACATCATATCAAGTTGGATTAGGCAAGTGTTGGTTGTTGATGACAACATTTGAAATCTTTGCACTGTTCTCAAACACCTTCCAGGCGCCTCCTGCACAGGAGGGTATTGGCCTTCAGCAGTGCGTAAAAGAAAATGTTAAATGCTTACTCCTACATAGGAGCACGCAGGCATCATGCACAAGGGCAATATGTCACATGTGACTCAGCCGACCTCATGGCATTTCAGTCTCAAGGATGCTACACTCAACATTGTTTCACATTTCCTGCCTTACAGTTACACTATAGCTCGTCATCCTCCTCTGGAGGAGGAGGAGGCATGATGGGTTTGGGGATTGCAGCCTGCATACCCTGAGCAAGGACAGGCAATCCACCAGGAACACATTTCCAGGGGTGTGTTGCCCCATGATGTTGATGGGAACTGGGCCTACAGGGGCCACATGTGGCATCATCTTGGGAAACACAGGAATTCATGTGATTGGCTGGAAAGGCGGCTCAGGTGGGAAAGTCGGCTGGAGAGGCGGCTCATGTGCGAAAATCGGAGGCGGTGCCACGCGCTCATTGAAGATTTCGGCACTGTTCCTGGGGACGCTGGTGGAAGAGCATCATCCTGCTCAGGGTCATGGTCATCATCAAAGTGTTCTTGAAGGTCTTCTAAAATAGAGGCAGCTTCTTCATATAGTTGTTGGCCATAGCTGGTTGCTCGTTTTCTGTTGAAAATAGGTCTCCGGGCCTTGTGGGCAATATCAACCTCTGGTTGGGGTGCATGAGGAGGATGAGCACCTTCAACTGGAGCATTAGGAGCACCAGGAGCAACATGACCGCTGCCCAGGCCTTGCTCATCCACCGTCCCACCAGCATCCACCCCACCCACCACCCTCTCCCATCCATCCTGCCAGATCCATTCCTCCCCCATCTGTGGCGAGCCTGGTGGCACCTTCACCCATTTGCCACCCCCCTCACCCTCCTCCCACCGCCACCACGTAGGATTCATAGGCCCTTCAAATGGCTGCCCAGTCTTTGGGTTGATGGTTTTTTTTTGCCCCTTTTTTGCCCCTTGTTTTTGCCATGGCTCCACCTGACCTGCCTTGCATTGTTCACTTGGGCAGGCCGTGCTTTTGCTTTTGCCTCCCCCCAGCTTTGGAGCCGTCGGCCAAGTGCCAGAAAAGTGCAAAGCTAGCCTCCTGCATAGGAGACAAACCAAGCAGGAATCCCACACACATATTTCACAGAACTGGTTTGGCAGGCCCTTTATTTACACCATCGCCTCCTGCATAGGAGAAACACCAAGCAGGAATCCTACATACATATTTCACAGAACTGGTTTGGCAGGCCCTTGATTTACAACATAGCCTCCTGCATAGGAGAAACACCAAGCAGGAATCCTACATACATATTTCACAGAACTGATTTGCAGGCCCTTTATTTACAACATCGCCTCCTTCATAGGAGAAACACCAAGCAGGAATCCCACATACATATTTCACAGAACTGGTTGGCAGCAGGCCCTTTACTTACACGATTCATTTGCAAAAAAATGAAGGGAACCAATAAATCAGAAACCATGGTACCCCATCATACATTTTAACATTCCACTCCTGTGTAGGAGTGCACCATTCCTATGAAAGAATGCAAGTTATGTATTGAACAAATACTAATGGTAGGCAAGGCTCGCACCATTCATTCCAGCAGACGCCCTGTCTGAGGTAAGCGGTTTCCCCACATGCGTTGCACCTTCTGGTCCAGCTAGGAGCATCAGGAGGCTCTGGAACCCCACCAGCCCCACCATCAGGAGCACCAGCCCCACCAGCGCTTGGCCATTCTTCATGGCCCAACCTAGCACCCATGACTATGCAAGTGCAAAGTAGTCACAAACTTGATCGACAAAGCAAACAGCTGCAGATGCGCAAGGGTGGTAGCCACACGCACTTGCAGTGTGCAAAACAATTGGCCATGAAGATTTATATGTTTGAAAAAGGGTCTCTTTTGCAGCCTCCTATGTAGGAGGAATGGTGTGAAAACAGCTCCTACATAGGAGCTGCTGCCCAGCGCTGGGTGCTTGCTTGAGCACTCTGTGGCCCTGGCATTTGATGGCCATGTCCTGGTAGGCAACCTGAAATGAGCTGTCAATGGGACATCCAACCTTTCCTTTCTTGGGCCACCTTTTTAAATTGTTTAGGGCTGAACTTTTTCTGTTGCAAACAGACAAGAAAAAAGCTAAACCATTTCCCGAAAAACTACTCCTGCAAAATAGGCATGGGCACCCAACTCCTGAGCAGGACCGCCTCACAGCCATTGCCAGCTAAAGGCAGGCTGAGCAAAAACTTGCGAAGCAACATGCTATTATACAACCAAGCCAAACATATCAACATTGACTCCTACAAAGGAGCTTTCAAGGATCCTAAGCAGGACCCATGTTCTGCACATGCAGCATTGAAGCCAGAAAATAGCTTATTCCAAAAGAAGAGGAGGTGTCAATACACCTTTATCTCTCTCTGGAAATGTTGCCCAGGACAAGGTCCCATAATGGGAGCTTGCTTGAGGATGTTTGCAAAAGCTGATTGCTTAAGCAGAATGTCATGGATAACTTCTCTCCTGAGAATAGTGACTTATGTGCTTTCCCATGCCTCCGTTATTTCAAAGTATTGCCAGCTAAGGGCTTGAGCAAAAACTTGTTAACATAAACATGACTCCTGCAGGACCCACATGCAGCACTGAATCCAGAAAATTTAAGCAATGTTTTCTGAAAAAAACATTGCTTAAATAAGGTGGAAAACGCCTTAAATAAGCAGTGGTTTTTAAGATAATTATTGCTTATTTAAAGCGGTTTTCTTATTTAAGGAGTTTTGGGCTCTCTGGGTTACTTCACCTGCATCAACTGGCCTCCATGGCAACTCGTCGACTAGTTTTCGGCGCAGGCGCAATTGAGCAGCCACGCCCTGGGTGGTTTTCTACATTCCAGACCTCGAAAGGCTATTTCTTCCACTTCCCCCGCATCGCATTTCCATGCACAAAAAGTGGAGCTTGCGGCCCCTTCCCAGGACACCGTCTTGCGACTACCTGACAAGGGGTTGGTGTGTCAACAATTGAGGCAGTGTGGGTCATGCGCTTCAAGAGGCCGCGCAGTCTTTACGAACTGGAAGGTGATACATGTGTGCCGAACTCATGTAAAGGGTACAGATTTGCCTGAGTAGTTTCCGACGCAGGATTTTCCGCATAGACGCATGTGTGCAGGGTCGCTTGCGTTTTATCACTTGATGATCGTTCTTTTCTCGGTTCTCCAAACCCGGGCTAAGGACGTCTTACTATGTCAAACGTGTGCGCGTGATAGATTCGACCTGCGCTGAGCAACGTTTGTTGTGATTCTTGCCGGTCCAAGGATGAACGTCTGACCGAAATGGGGGATGTTAAGACTTTTGCTCATATTCGGTCATGTTCTGATCTTTGTTTTGTTGTCCGTTTGTCCAAAAAATGCAACTTGCATGCATGACCAGGCGCTCAGCTGCATGTAGCATTGCATGACTTTGGCTCAAGGCTCAGGTCACGAGTCAATAGGAGGATACCCAATAGCGAGACCGCATGCAAACCACTCTGTTTGGCCCGCCCCCATTTTTTCCCTTACAAGCCCTTACTCCTTTTGGACGACCCCCTGGAATTTACATGCCGTTGCGGCTTTCCTGCGCACCGTTAAGCGGCAAACATCTCACAGTGTGACCCGACAGCTTGCTTGCTTGCTTGCCTGCCTGCTTGCCTGCTGGCTTGCCTGCCTGCTTGCCTGCCTTGCCTGGCCGCTTGCCTGTTTGTCTGCCTGTCTGCCTGCCTGCGTGCCTGTTTGCCTGCCTGTGTGTTTGTCTGTCTGTTTTGTTTGTTGGTTTGTCTGTTTTGAGTGTGCGGGGGGGGGGGGAACCCTGTTACTAAGGGAACCTTGTAGTTTGACAGGTTCAATGTCTACCGAGATCCCAGCGAGTCTTGGCCTAACGAAGGCACTTGATGAGAACCGTAAAGCAACCCGGGACGCCGGATCGTACGCTTGTACTGACGCATCTCTCGCCCATCTCCGGTTTCCAGTTTGGCCATGATCCTTACCCTCGACTATAGATAGACGAGCTGCAAGAGGGCAAATTCAGGCAAGCGTGCGCGGGTGTCCTCTGCATGTGGGAAGGTTCAAAAAGAGTTGCCTTGGTTTGCTAGTGCGTGCTGCTGGCAGTAGCGTGTTCCTGAAGCATGGTCTTTGACATTGAGGGTGCGTGGTGCCTGCGTTTGCCGCCTTCTGCGTCACGCGAGACTCATGTTGGTCATTTTGCGTCTTGTTTACGTCGGTGAGAGGTGAGAGAGGAAGAGGTGGGTAGGGGACGAGGGCAGGCGAGACAGAGGGGAGAAGAGAGTTGTGTTTCTGTGGCTTGCCCCGATTTTCACTCCTGTTGCCTTTGAGGCCACACATGTTGGCTTTGGACGCAGCTCGCTAAGGCAGTCTTGAGCGCCAGACCATGGAGGCGGCTCAAGACGTTGTACATGGAAAACGCTGCGAATATTTCGCGCGCTGGCGGCGGTGCTTTAGGAAAACTGCTTCTGGCAAAGGACCCTGAAGAATTGTTTCTGAACGGTGGGCGCTTCGACCGTAATGCGCTGCTCGCTTTGAATGAAGCTCTGGCGGCGAACTGGTCTTCACAGATGCGGCATCTCCTCATGAACCCCAATTGCCAAGTGGCACCCGTTTCCTTTTTCTTTGTTTGTTGTTCCTTTAGAGAAAGCCAATAGAATGTTTTTTAATCAAATAAATCCACTTTGCTTCTGAGGCGGGACATGAGCTTAGATGACGGGGACCTGCAGATAGTTGGATCGCTGGTTTCCAGGTGGGGCGACAAGCGTTTCGGCAAGGCCGAAGCCGCACTCCTTGCTGGGCACTTTGCTGTTGGGAAGACAGTCCTAGTCGCAAGCGAGAAGTGTTGACTGTTTTTTTTTGCAAACCCCCGCGGCCAGTTTCAACATTGAAGATTGAGTTTCCCAGCGCTTGCGCAATGCTCAGCGCTTTCTTTGGCAGGATGCCGCATATTGAAGGTTTGAACTTGGGCGGACGTAACATCTTCGGCACAAATACTGCGGGAAACAGCCTCTCCGGTTGCCCAGCCGCACGAGTTCTTTCCTTGCTTGTTGTCAGACTTCCCTTGTTATCCCTTTTCCCCATACACTGACCACCAAATTGGCGTTGCCACTGCGAGCATAGTACTGGACAAACGACACATCCCACCAAAGCTGCAAGAACTGTTTTGGTTTCATTGTTGTTTCTCACCTGAATAAATCTTCGTTGTTGCTTCTTTTCCCGCAAGCAAACAAACTTCCAAATTGGTCGCCGTTTTGTAGGCAGATTGGCGGCCAAGGCTTCTACACCTGGGCCCCCTTGCTTGCAGCCCTGCAGCGCCGGCCTCCGTTGCGGCGTTTGGTTCTCGGCGGCCCTCCGCGGTTCTATTTGGACCCAGTGATGGTCAACATCATGTACGCGCTGCTGACCCTCGCCCGAGATGTGGAGCAGTTTCTTTTTGATTATTTTGGTATGGCAATTTCTGGATCAATGATTTCGTGGTTCCCACCCAGAACAAGCCCAAAGGCGAGACGCATTCAGGGGGAATTTCGCCGGTTGGCCATTTCATGCAACATTTTCCTTCAGTGACATCACCTTTTGGTTGTCAATGTTGGTTGAGTTTGTACGTGGTTAGATGCCAGGCATTTGGCAGTCCAAGTTGTGGTCAACGCCTGTGGAAGCAGCCTCCTCCCCCCACCGGTAAAAGGAAAAAGCTCTTAAAACCGCCGTAGAAGAGTTCTTGATTTTTTGCTGGGAGAAGCGCTTTACTTATTTGATAGTTTCCCCAGGCTACGCTAGCAGTTTACGCTTTTTGTTGTTCGTTGTTGGTGTTCCTTTTTGTGAACAGATTACGGGTCACCAGTGCATTCACAACATGTTACACACAGATGATGCCATCTGGCTCAAGAATCGCATGTGTCCTTTCATAATACAATTGTGGGGAGACACAAGGACGTAAAAAGATCGAGCCGTACCCCTCGGTTTCTCAGGTTATCAGCCGTAGGGCTTGTCCCACGTGCTGTGAGACAAAGATTGATTCGAAGCGAGAGGTCTTGAACCCCGCTTCCTATTGAATCAATCAATTTTTAATTACATTCGCGGCACCTGCGCCGGAATTTCATCTCAAGGCACACCGGAATCAGCCGGCCATGTGAGTGGAGACACTATCGTTGTGAGTGCTGGACCCGCGGCAGCTGGCCAGCAGAGTGATGCCGGCATTGATCAGACCATGGGAGCAAGGGCTTCCTCCCGGTCAAGAGTTCCGTCAGAAGAAGATGATGGGCGGACACGAATCCGCAAATCTCGTAGAGGAGGAAGTCATCCTCCCCAATGGGTTCCCCAAGTGACCCCAGAAGTGCGGATCAACAACTCGATGATGATTTGCGGAAGCCCAAAGAAAGGCGGAAGTACAGTACAGATGAGCGAAGCTGCTGAGCACAACGAGAACCGCGCATTGAAGGAGGAATGCTCATCGTTACGATCATGAGTAAAGGAACTAGAATCCGATGAGGCGAAAAGCCTGCAAAGAATTCTGGGACTTGAGAGAATGAATCACACCCTGGAATACCAAGTTGCACATGTTCATTGGAGGATGAAAGACCATGGATTGATACTCATTGGTGGCTTCGCTTTCCGTAACGAAGTTGAGATTTCACGGTTCTCCGCTCGCAACTGTTGAGCCTCATTGTTGAAATCATAGGCCATTGCCTCAAGCTCATTCATCCTGTTTGCCTTGATATTCAGCTGGTCCATCGCCAAGTTGTATTCTCAGCACTGGTACCGAAGCCTTGCGCAAGCAGCTTTTCCCGCTTCTTCAGCCTCAGGGTCACCGTTGGCGGGGTCCTTCTGAAGGATCATCTGGACCCGCTGGTCCACTCCTTCTAACGGGCCAGCTCCTTGAAGGAAGTGATTGTGTCCCGTGCTGGGACAGCTGGGCGGAGGTACCCGCGGCCCTTCTTGTCGCGGGCCACACCGCGGTCGGCAAGCCACTTATTCCACTTGCTTTCCGCCTCCTCCTTGGTGAGGTACCCGTGCCGGGCAGTCTTGGCTTCGTCAAGCCAATGGCCCTTCCACATCATCTCGTGCTCTCCCCCGCGGCGCGTCCCGCTGCTACTCTTGGATGCTAAACTTCACCTTTGCAGAGGCGGTGGTTACCCGCTGCCGATCCTTGATGAACTCCTTCATGAGATCCTTGAAGATCTGCAGCTCTGTCCGCTAACGGTATCCGCGTCTCCGAAGCTTTGGGCACTGCAGCTTTGCAGCGCTGAATTTTCGCGGCCCAGGCTCAAGCTCTGACTCGCGGCACTTAAGTCAGTCATACTTGGGCTCGGCGACCAGGCCGAGTTCGCATATGAATGAGCTGACTCCCAGCCAATGCCATGGATCAAAAGTGCGCTAAAAGCGGACCAAAGACTCAACTCAGTCGTCCCTTGAACAGCACGTTTTTTTCTGCAACTCCAAGCCAAGAAGCGCGTCCGAATGTCTGGGGCTGGGGCGGGGCCATCCTCTGACTACCGGCCTTTGGCAGCCTTGGCAACTCAGGCACGCCTCTACCGCTTAACGCGGAGGCGACCACTGTTCCAATGGCTCTGATGTGCATACCATTCCCAGCCATTGCCTTGAGCTTGGAGTCTGACAAGCTGCGCAAGTTCGAGGCGAACTCCCACTTGTACGGTGAGTCGGCCCACAATGCTCAAGAGGCAGGGCCACCCGCTTCCTTCCAAACACCCACAGCGTGCTTTGCCTCAAGATGGCTGGAACTCGGCCATGGCACGGCCCCATGTGCTCAGCTTTTGCGCGGTGTTGCTGACCCACATGCCCAGATCTGCGGAGTCACCCGCTCGTTCCTTCAGGGCGGCAGTGTGCTCCTGTGAGTCAGCCCGGGCACCAGCAGCAAGAGCTGCACGCAGCTCCAATCTTGGCCGCTCTGTGGTTGCTGGCAGGTGGTGAGCCAAGGCCAGCTTGCGAACGTAGTCCCTTCTTCTGGCGGCGCGCAAAACTTTTGGGCGAGGGCCATGACCGCTGCCGCAGCCCCCAAGAACGGCCAAATTGGTTGGAAGGCGCCTTGGGCGTTTGATGTGGGATTTTTGTGTAAAGAAGAGTGTGCGCCGCTCCAGCTCCACCGATTCGGTTTTGCTCGCTGCTTTCTTGCTTGTCTGCCTGAGGTGCGGTCGGGGGCAGGGTGCGTGAGGTGAGGCGGCCTCATGTCCTGCCCCCGTGCTTTTGCTGCTGCCGCTGCTGTTGCTTTCGTTGCTTGCTTGCTTGCTTGCTTGCCTGTCTGCCTAAGGTGCGGTCGAGGGCAGAGCGCGTGGGGTGAGGCGGCCTGACGTCCTGCCCCCGTGCTTTTGCTGCTGCGGCTGCTGCTTTGTTTGTTTGCTTGCTTACCTGTCTGCCTAAGGTGTGGTCGGGGGCAGTGTGCGTGAGGTGAGGCGGCCTTACGTCCTGCCCCCGTGCTTTTGCTGCTGCTGCTGCTGCTGCTGCTGCTGGTGCTTGTTTGCTTGCTTCCTTGCCTGTCTGCCTAAGGTGCGGTCGGGGGCAGAGCGCGTGGGGTGAGGCGGCCTGACGTCCTGCCCCCGTGCTTTTGCTGCTGCGGCTGCTGCTTTGTTTGTTTGTTTGTTTGCTTGCTTGCTTGCTTGCTTGCTTGCTTCCTTCCTTCCTTCCTTCCTTCCTTCCTTCCTTCCTTCCTTCCTTCCTTCCTTCCTTCCTTCCTTCCTTCCTTCCTTCCTTCCTTCCTTCCTTCCTTGCTCGCTCATTTGAAGTAAGCTCAGGACTTCGCTTGGCGCATTTGGGGCAGCCCAAAGAAGCGCAATGCCAAGTTTCAAGGGGATGCTGAGCCACAATTCCACAAGGGCAAGAAGCCGCGGTCAGGCAATTGGCAGCGTATGGAGTGGGAGACTAGGCTACGAGGGGGCATTTGCTTTCGCAGTTGTTGTGTTCTATTTTGCAGTGCGCTTGCTTGTTTAGAGTTGCAGTGAACGGTGCTGAGGCAACGTGGGAGCGATGCCGGGTCTGTGACATGGAAAAGAAGTTGCCAGATTTGAAGGTGCAAAGCACCATGGTGCTTTGTGCCACTTCTGTAAGATCGAAATCCAAAAGAATGCCCGCAAGCATGGGCTGAAATCCCAAAGTGTAGCCGCCCTGACCGATCTCCAGCGTGGCTACGTGGCTTCTGCCTCCCAGGCAAAGCGCGAGGCCGCGCTTCAGCAAGGCTGATGGGGCTGAGACAGCTGCCGTGGCCACTTGCGTGTAAAGACTTTGCTTTGCCTTGCCCTGGATCGTTTTTTTTGGCTCGCGCGGTGGAACGAACAAGTTGAGAGGCAGTGTTGTCGCGCAGGGTTAGCTCTGGACCGGCGGTGTGAGCCCTGCTTTTTGCAAAGCGAAATGTCTGTCGAATCATACCTTGAAACATACCCGAATCATGGCCCGAAACATACCCAAGCCCTTGGTTTGCAGCTCTTGGCCCACCCCGCAGCCATGGAAGCTGTGGTAGACTCCCAGGAAGGTTCTGCGCCATCTAGAGGGAAGCTGCAGTATTGGAAGCGGCGCTTACAAGTCGAGTTTGCCAAGGTTCGGGACGCGCTTGGCAGCTTGGGCCTTGCCAAAGCCATCAGTCGGTGTTTGCCAGTGGAGGAAAGAGCCGTGGTCCGCGACGCTTTGGGTTTAGAGGATGCAGAGTTGAAAGGGAAAGTCGCTGACTCTTTGGCAGCTGCAAGTTTTAACGATCCAAGCTTGAAGGTAGCCATTGCCAAAGCGGCGCGGGAAGTCATTGGCACACACAGCAAGAGCAAGAAAGTTCTGCAAGTCCCTGGCAGGAGGCTTTGGAGACGAGTGAAGCAAAACATCCCTAGGAAGAAGCCAGGCCGACGAAATATTTTGAATGCCCAGTCCGTCATCCAGAAAGTCAGACTTTACCTCATGGAGAACTCCAGCCAAACCGCCAAGCTGATGAAGGTAGGAGAATGTGTGCTGCAAGTGCGCAACTTGAAGCGTTCTCGACACAAGCTGTGGAACTCAAGCACATCAATGCGCAACTTGATGAGCAAGGCGTTGTGGTACCGCCACCTCAAAGCCCACCATAAACAGTTCGTCCGACTGCGGTGCAGGAGTGATGTATGTAGTTATTGCCATAAATTTGATTGGAAAGTTTTGCCGGCCTTAAGAAAAGACTTGAAGACTTGCAAGGGACAGATTGCGGCCCTGCAAAGCAACTATTTCGACTCACTGGACCAAGAGTGGGCGCGCCTTTTGCAAGACGGCCAAGTTGACCCAGACGGAGAACTCTCCCTTCAGTACGTGGAGAAGTTGAAGGCCCTTATAGATTCCACAGCTGCGAAGCGAATGTCTGAGCGTACACGTGCTGGCACAGTCAAGCACCGGCAGGAAATGAAGGCGGCAGGGGCTGTTGCAAGCAAAGTTCTGAAGGAAC